AACGTGTGAAAATCAACCTGAAAAAAATACGCACATACATTAGGTATTAAACACGTAACGATGGAGGAGGGGATAATACTAGGCAAAGATGTAGAACTCAATCAGTAAAAGTCTGACCATAAGTCATTCTAAAAAAAAACGTATCACTCGAATAGATGTCGTACCGACCGACACTCGCTCCTTATGGAGGACATAATAAAGCTGAAATCGAGGCGCAGCTTCTTCAGTCCCTTGGCGCTCTTGAGATGATGAGCAAGGTGATGATGGTCTTGCCGTAGCCGCCGAGGGGGTTCTCGGCCTCCTCTGGCGTCAGCTCCGTCACCTCGCCCTCGTAGACCTCCTTTGTTTCGCGGACCTTGAGCCCAATGGCCCTCCTGAAGTTCTCCATCAAGATCTCCGTCTTCTTCACTTCTGTCGAGTAGATCTCGCTGCCGACAATGGGGCAGAAGGGGATCTTGGTGCCGAGCTCCTGGCTGATCGCGAGCGCGAGCGCCGTCTTTCCGGTTCCCGGTCCTCCTGCCAGCAGGACGCCCCTGCCGGCCATCTTGTGCGCCTTGACCAGATCGACGACGACACCGGCTGCCTGTGGGAGGGGGTGGTTAGCAGAGCTTCCATGCGCAGTCTCGAGGGGCCTCACCTCTCGCGCTGTCGTCTGGCCGACAAAGCCGGCCGCTTGCTTCTCGGCGGTTCCATCAGTCTTCAGTCCCAGTCCCTTGATATGTGTATGGGCCGCCGTGGGGTTGTCGCGATTGTTGCCCTTGACCTCGCTGATCTGGACCATCTTGGCGGATTGCGCGTGCGGCGAAAGTTTTGAAATCGAAATGGCTTGTCTTGCTGATGTCAGAGCTGGTTCGTGATGGCGTCGTGCGTTGGATGGGTGCAGATGGAGCTTGGGGGGTGGTCGTGTCGATAAGATCTGAAGCTGCGTTTAGAAGATTTTGGGGCGACGCGATCTCCTGCATCCCTGCTGTTGCGTTGCTGCACGAGTGACCAGCGGTTCCATTGCAGCATGTTGCTGGGTAGTGGAATATGGAGATAGGGTGTACTAGATACCCGATACGTGCATATAACAAGAGATGCACCTTCAATTGCGCTGGCTGTGTTCTTCAATGGCTTGCGGCCAGAGACTAATTGAGGGTTTGACAACGCAATATTTTGTGTGGTCTTGATCTGTGAGGTTTCAAATTGCATTTTAGTTGCCGCGTCGTTGGCGTTTATTCTCTTCAACGACGAAGGAATGGTAGCATCCGAATCACCAACAAGTTATAACCATCCAGAAAGATAGACGAAATATTTATAGCACTATGTGTCTCAAGCTCACGAAAATTAGAAGACTATAAAAGACACCAATGTATTATTCTGAGAGTGAGGGTTTCAATTTAGTGAAACGAAAGTCCCAACATTAGCTGAATGACCTCAAGAAAAGAAGCACATCGCCATTATAATTGAAAAGAGCGGACAGGCCAGGCCACACCACAAGCTCAGTCGTAACCTGGCCGAACAATTCCGGTATCATTGCACTAGAATCAAGATGCATACAAAGAATGGCAAGTCTGAGTGTCCGGGAGTCGTCGTTGGAGTCCGACGGGTGTAAAGCAACAGAGCATCAATGGATATATTCCCAACACTACCGCTGCGCCCACATGTGCCGCCCACTGCAGCAAAAACGAGTCACAAAAACACGCAGTTCAAGTCATCGCGGATCGTTTATTCACTGGTATCATATCTCGTCTATCGGGTTCATCCACGCGCAGTTCCACGCTCACCCCCCCAGCCTCACCCTCCTAGCGTCCAGCGCGTCAAGGTCATCGTCATCATCGACCTCCATCAACATGGGCACGCCCTCGGCATCCCGAACGCCGCCAATCTCGACATCTCGCTCCCGCCTCGCGGCGGCGGCCGCCGTGGACTCCTTCGTGATGACCAT